ACTGAGTTGATTGGGGGAGTGGGCCTTATTCCGCATGTGAAATTCCAGAAAGACGGAAATTTATTAGTTATTATCGAAAGGGATGGACAATAATAAATATACAATCGTTTTTTCTACACATACTAGAATGTTGGGAAATGGAAACACCCAGTTAAGGGTAGAATTTCTCATTTTACTTCTATCTTTTGGAGGGTTCTCGAATGGCCTAAACCGCAAAAAGACAAGACTAATCGTTCATGGGGAAATTGAAATATAAGAGAAAAACAGAAACAGTAGATTCATTACCTTAACCAATATATTTTTTAGATATTCTTTTCTTCAAGAGGGAAACCAACTAGGATTTTAAATCGAGAGACCGAAAATATATGAATATTTAGATTTATGGAAAGAGAAAAAAATGTAAAAATCCGCGTATGAAACGAAGAAGGAAGCAGATTGCAAATTTATTAAGTTCAGTTCAATTCCGACAAAACAAACAATGAAATGCAATTGAAAAGAATTGAGTGAAATTGTTCAACGGTGTATCTCCGAGCAACTTTGCTTATCATGGATTTGGAAAGTGATTTTCCTCAATACGAATGGTCAATGGAAATAATTCTGACTGGGCTTTGTTCAGGCGGGGGATTAAATGGAGGAAATTAATTGTTGGATTTGAATGCTGTTCACATGATGAGATTGATGGATTTGGCAGGCAGATAATTTTCTCATGGAGTGGTCAAATAGAGACAATAATAATCGTGCATGGAGTAGAAGATCATTGAATTCAACTGCGGAATAATATTTCCATTTACGATGCACGAGTACAATTGGCTAAACACTTTGCATCCCGTGGCGATGGCGATTGGGGTGCCGCAGGAGCTGAGTGAATACAGTGTGGCGCCCCGACAATTGTGATGCCCATAATGATAATTGGGAGAGAACATCAAAACACATTTGGCTGCATCGAAAGGGAGTCATAAACTTATATCGTGCGTATATGGAAATGTGAATGGGCTGAAAATACAGAAGCGCACAGTATTGTAAACAAGGCAGGGAAGCAAATTCCCCCGACCACCCCTTGGCGGATGCCCACACAATGCATCAAAATGTTGCCCGGAGAGTTCGAATATGATCTCCAACAGCGAATCTCGGGGGCTCCCTCGCCGTCCACAATGGGCATGATGATGGACCTCCTGTGAGATTCTCCGCATCGCCAACACAATCATCGCACGTCCCTGGCAAATGGGGAGCTCATATGCTGATTTATCTTATTGTTGCAGGTTAGATTCTCGTCCTCCTGAAATGCAACAAACAATGCGCTTTGCGCCGGGAACGCGAATATTTAGGGACGAGGACATTCCATCTCTATTGATACATCTTCTCGATGGAATTTATAGAGTCATTCTCATTCAGTAAATGATCTCATTTGGTGATAATGTCATCACTTTCTCATTCATGCGCTGTGAGGATGCAATTGTGCAAATACGAGTTGTAAATTTGTCTGAAAAATGGCACAATAGCTTCTCGAATTATTATTTAGAACATACTTTAAATAGGTACTGTAAATAAAAGAATCATATTGTGTGTAGTTTACGAGAGGGCCTCATTAAAACTGCTTCATACAAAAGGCTAAAGAAATGAATACCAATAAATGAACTTTCTGTCTAGAACTCATAATCCATCAATGCAAATTTTAACCCTCTAATTAAGGTTTATTCTTTAACTAAAAAAATATTTTCGAGAATAAATATTGTCCTAAGTTGTGTATCAATAATATATTCATTAATTTTCAAGTTAGAATTAAATAGATCTGTAATATCTCGAGCCAATTTTGTAGTCCATCACTGAAGGGTTAATTCAATCCGAAGCGACTTCTATTTTCCCATGAGTACAGAAGCTGTAAATGTTGGGTAAAATTACAGTCCGAAATTGCAATATACACATTCTTCGTTCAGCATTTTATTGATTTCTATTTCAAAGTTTTGAGTGTTGCTGCAGAACATTTTTCATGAATTACGATTCGGGATGCGTTTGAAGCCGGGGCAAAAGACAATTTTGCGGTTTTCTTCATGCTGTGCATAATGGCAAATCCGCAAGATGTTCGCGAGCAGAGGCGAAGTCTGCGCCATGTCAGGAAACTGTTAATGAAATGGTTTTTATGCATGCCACGAGGAGTGAAGGCCTAAATGAAAAAGCGTCAATCAAGTGAGATGAAAATTCAATTGATTATCTTTTTCGGAAGCTACTTCTGTGGCTTATTTCATGTGCCATTTGCGCCTTTTGTCGGCACAGCAGTTTACATACATCTCTTTTACATTGCGCCATCATTTTTTGACCTTTTGTTGCAACACACCAGCCAAGACTATAATTGAATTGTGTGATTCACAATCTCTCCTTAAAGAGCGTTTTTCGTATAGGATGTGCTAAAGAACTGAACTTCAATGATACAGAAATCAATCATGCGGCAAATATTCACATTTTAAAGGGAGAGAGAGTGAGTGAAAAAAATACTGCAACTGTTGATACTTAAGTTCAGTGTTCTTCGCCTCTCTTTCCATCAATTCATATTCGCATTTTTTTAGATTGCCTGAATGGGAATGATTTCCTTTGTGATGTATTACACGATATGTGATGCCCCTCCGTGGTTTACGTTCCTTGAGGGTGTCCTGACGATGCTTTTCTCTGTGCGTTTTCTCTCTCTCAAGCAAAAATGTGTTATATGAAATTGCCGTTTTATTGTTTGATTTTTTTCCGCTTATTCAATTTTTGCTCTTTCCACTGTTTTTATCCTTGTCTTCTTCACTTTTACCTACTGTCAATTTGAGCTGAAAAAGGAGTTATGAAAATGTAAATTCAATTCTCATTTACTTTCTGGAATAAGTATGGCTTCATTTCTCCCGCTGTTTGCGACGAACTTTGTTATTTTTCTAGCTAATTTTTTGTTTGGCGAATGGCACTGTAAACAGAAATGCAATCAATTTTTTGTGAGTCCTTTTTTGGGTGCTTTTTGCCTGTACGGAGAGAGGATCTCTTTAGCAGTCATCATTTGAGTATTATTTTGCACGTCATGAGAAATATAAATCAAATGCATAGGGTGGCTTGGCAGCGGACTAGGGGCATGGCATGTCTGAAATAACAAACATTGTTTCTCCTATCTCTCTATTTGAATACAATAAAATGTAATTCAATCTGATTGCATTAGGCATCATCATTCAACGTAAATTCTGTCTGTTTTTCATACGAGGGTTTTGCGCTACGTTTTATTTAGTTTAGCGGACGGAAGTGGTGATGGTTAAGGGGGTGGCTTTAGGTGGACTAAAATCAAACATATTTCGCACAATTCATGAAGTCTATCCGTATAATTATGTTTGAGAGTGATAACAGAATTTGCTGCAAGAATTGATTTATCTCGCAATTACCGCTGAGAGTTCGTGTGACTCCCTTTTCTGGGTGATTTAGGACGGAGAAAATTGGGTTATTTACTCAATATTAGTTACGGTCACAGAGTTCATAGTGACCAAAATACTCGGCAATATCTTATTTCAGCAAATAAATCAATCCACCCAGACCATCTTCGATATATGGCGCCCTGTGAGGAGATTTGGCAAGGCATAAGGAATTTGATTACAATTGGCCGTGCTATTGGAGTCTCTGTGGGATTTTCCACTGGCTTTCTTTCACATCTTTTTCAAATAATTGCCAATAGCATTGATCAGGGAGGCGAAACGATGCCGAAGAAAATGACTCTCACAGCCAACACAAGAGAAGAATTTCTATAAACGTGTTTCACGATTGGCAACAAGACCATTATTGCTAATTTCAATTCCTCACTTTTATCTATTTTACGTGCATGTTCTAAAAAGTAATTTTTCTTCATCGGCGCATACCTTGTAAATTGTCATTAAACTTGATTATGTTGTGTGATTGCAAATTGTACTACGACGATTGGATTCCATTTAATGTCTCACTTGGATTAATAACATGTGGTATTGAGATTTAATCCCAACACCCAAGTCACACCATGAAAAGCGTCCAACATAGCGCTGATGTAGAGAAGGCTTCTCCTCTCTCGAATGATTGAATGGAAATCAATTATCAGTGATAGATATGCAAGTGAATTGGAAAATGCACACCACACACAGAGAGCATGTAAATTGTAACTTACGAGTGAATTCACAGGCACACCAGACTGAAAACCAGTCGCGGTGGTGATTAGAAATTATCTAATTTGACTTGTTATTCACCCCATTTCAATTTACATTACAATATCACAACATTCATGCACTATTTTTGCCTCTTTATCTCCAATCGCGATCGCGAGCACCCCCACAGTCACATTAGTGATCAAAGTTTGATTTAATTTCGCAAAATACCGCCACTTTTTGCATAATATAAACAGGTTAATGATTCTGAAGGAATATGCCTAATGACGTATTGAAAAACATTCATGCAAAATTCATTCAGTTCCTTATTGATATTTAGGTTATAAATTTAGAAGATTTCTATTCACAGTTTGTGACAGATATTTTGACAATTGCTTCGTTTCATGACAAACTCTTTTTTAGAATATCGCAAACGACATTGATCTCCTAATTTATGCCGTGCGAATTTTCGATGTTTACGCTAATTAAAACTCTGCCCACACAATACAGTGGCAAACAGTTTCATTGATTTTCTTATGAAAATGAAAATAGTTTTGGTTTTTGTGAAGACCTCATCCATTATTTTTGACTGTTTGTGCAAATGAATATGGAAAGAGGAAGAGAGAGAGAGAGAGAGAGAGAGAGAGAGAGAGAGAGATGGAAAGTTAGCTAAATACTACGGCGTGATTCATAACACTATTTGATATCTTGAATATGGCTAAAAATAGTATAGGTAGTAATAAAGATTTGCGCAAGATGTCTCCTTAGTGTGAATTGAAAGAATAAGAGATTTGGAGATGAAATGAAGAAAAAATTGAGCGCAATCTTTTACTAACCATCACCCGTTTTTAACCTCAGTAACTCTCTACTATCGTGCAGCTCCAGACCGGGTCGACCACCGAAACGGGGTCCTGTGGGCCTGTCGCTTCCCGCCACGCACATGTCTCACCATCCGCAACTGAAAAAACATCGACTGGACAACGGTGACTATCCGTACGAGAATGGGCATCTCAATGGTGAGTTCTTTTCGCACTTATCAAATGCTCTTTGAGACATGGAGAATCTCGAGACGAATGATACAATAATAGCTGCTAAATGGTCTCAATTTGCTTTACTCACTGTATAGTTTCAGGGAATGGAAAGAAAAAGAGATGCGATGAAGGAGAATTGAAATGACTCGTGGAAGGAAAAATATCATTTTGAAAATTATTTATGATTATACAGCATGTTCAGTTGCTCTGCAGTTCCTCCTCATGGCATCACCCATAAATATGTGGGTATTGGAGGCTGTGAGATGGAGAGGGAGGGAAGAAAGATATGATGTTTCAATGTCGAAGTTGTAGTTCTTTTGAAATTAAATCGTAAAATCCGGTGGTGATTCTTTTGGACTTCTTCACAATATTGTTGTATTAAACGTTTCTCTGTTTCTCTCTCAAGTACCGTGCCTTATAATTTATTATCATTTTACGCAGAAACAATATAAATACATACTTGTGGCTGCCAAACTGTTGGCGATCGCTCTCTCGAGCTCCATTCAATAAATACTAAGATGTGCAACATGCAATACAATGCAGAGATCCTTGGCTCAGCCGTCTATTTCTCTGAATGGAGCCTCTGGGATTCTGTCTCTTGTTCCAACAATAAAATGCACCATTGGCAAAATAGTATATTGATGGCTGCACGCTCTTGTTTATCCCCTCATAACTATAAATTATGGTGTAAATTAGTATTAATTCCATTTGTTGCTGCCGTCATGTTCAAATGTGAGAAATATAGGCAAAATTGGTAGCATTTTACGAGATGATACTTGATGAATTTATCACTTTTGCCTTCGCCTGGCAAATTGCAAGTTCATTGAACCTGCCAATCGAGAGTGAAGACACGAATGAAGAGTGCGCTTCTAAAGAGGGCCAAAAATTTAAGACACGTCGAGGCTCTTATAGTCAATTTTAATAATTTAATCCCTAAACAAAATGAGAAAGTGAGTAGGCGCGCTTCAATCAAATTATCGATTTTCTAAATGCCCTACTTCCGCGTCGTACTCTCTTTTGCCTCATAAGTTTGTAATTTGGCCATGATATACTCAACACTTCTGCACATTTCAACCCCACAATATAATCTCAGGGCACGACGGTTTTCGACCCTCTCTCATAGCTTCAAGAGTTGGGGGAGTTTTGCACGAAAACGCACAACCTAATTTTAAAGTCCTCGCGTATCATTAGAAATTCGATACTGGGCGATGTGTAGCATCAGTTGCCGAGAGTGAGAGAAAGAGAGAGGTAAAACGCATGTAATATTTAGTAATTTTCCAACTATGATAGCGGCTCATTGCCATTCGTTTTCCCAAGCAATGGGAGCCACTCTCGTATTGTAGTTAACAATCATCACCATAAGCAATTTCATCGAGAGGGAAAAAACCACTCAACTATTGTTGGATTTGTTGCCAAAAGTACTCAGTCGGGATATTAAATATGGGATTTATAGCGCAACAACAGAGATATTACATCTGTTTCAGCCCTTTTTATGCGGCGCGCATTTTTTGTGGCTCTCTCTCTTTCTCTCTCACTCTCTACATATTTAATAAAACGTTGCTTCTGTATCTTTTCACGATCGTTGCATTTGCAATATGCTGTACCTTTTGGAGGTACTCAAATGGGCAAAAGTACATGGGAGTGATCATGCGGTTTATTGTATGGAGTATAATAAGATATTATGTCTTCTATTTGCAATAGAATTTAGGGGATTACGAAAGGCGTTTGATAAATTTTCGGATGAAAGCTTCAAAATTATTAGCATTATGAAAAATTGAAGCTATATAGAGCAAAATGAATTGGTTTCATTTGCAATTTTATTGTTAACCCTTTAGGGCCGCATGAAACACAGTTATTGTGCGAAAGAATGAGTTTTTAATTTTGTCACTTTGAACCGGGGCTCTAAAGTGTCATTGATTTGAATTTTGCATTTACAAAAACAAACAGATTTGAAAAAAAATGTTATGCTTTTGTTAAACGCTCGTGAGCATTGGAGCACGCAAAGTGGCATTTTTGGCATTTTCTCCCTCTTCTCAGGCATCGTGAAATAGTTTGGACGCATTTTTGACATTGTTTCAGGGCAATAGGGTAAAAAGACACGCGAGAATCGCGGAAACGGATAAAATGCCGATGGGACAAAAAAGCCCGCGAAAATCCCACCAGAGAGATACAAAGTGGAGAGGGAAGAGACACACAAGTTCGCGATGGCAAATTGCATAAAATAACAGATCTGCTCACTCAGTTTGGGGTTGGAGAAAAGGTGATCGGCAATAAAAAATGCCGAATGTATCATTTTGATTATTGTTCTTTGGCCAAATACGATAATAGCAGCGTTTTGTATCCCGTACGCGAGACAAGGGCCACGCCAGGGTCCAAACAGAACGGTTCGCGAGACACATGGAATTAAAGGAATAAAAATAACATTCTTGCGGTGATCAAAATGAAATGAATGGCTATAATGTTAAACGATTCTCGAAACATGCTCGGCAATTTATTTGTAATTTCTGAAAATTGATAGAGAGGCGTGAGAAGGGGAGAGAGGGTTATTATTCGGGCAGTCTTTTGGTGAAAATTGGGCGCACGCAAAACTGCCCATTTTCCTTCACCTACGTTCATATGACTGTTGGGATTTGAGACAAGGTGAGAGAGGCTATTCTTCGAGAGTACCATAAATAAAATGTGTGCCCCTTCGGCTGGCACTGTGCCCCATATACATTATATCGGAAATTGAGGCAAATTGGCAAATTGCTGGAGTTCGGTGATTTATGGGCGACCGCGAGAGACGACCTTGCAATTTAATTGCAATTTTCCAATTCCAACACGCACAATTAACATTTGAATTGAGATTCCATGTCTAGTCGCGAGAGACACACACACACACACACACACACGAAGATTTTATTTTTTGCTCTCTGTAGGGTGGAGATCTTCGAGCCATTTGTGCACTGTTGAAAGATGAAACATCTTGCGGCAAAAATTAAATGTCAATTTTGCGGCACGCAGTATAAGATTGGTTCACCCAACATGATTGATGACAGAACCTCGTGATATTGGAATATATCAAGAGAGACAATATTTAGTCGGATATTTTTACTCCATAATAGTGTCAAATGCGCAACCCTTTTCCACACTATATTGCAATTAAAGCCTTCATGAAGTGCAGGAACAGGAATCCCACCGTGTTGTGTCCTCTTCACGATAATTAACTCCGACTTTTTAATTAATTAATGACACGATTCACCATTTGTGACATTTGCAAATGTGAATATTCACTTTATCTCTTTCTGTGCATATGATGCGCCCGTCAACTGGATCCCACCCACGCCTGGGTGACGTTGTACAATTGGATTCGTGCCATCGCATACCCCTGTGGTATTTAAATCAACCCCCATAGCGATTTATCAGGCACAGCGAGGCGCTCCTTTCGCGTCCCACTTTAGGGACCGTGCGAGGGTGGGTTTTCACTTCATTCCACCTCAATTGTACGGGGCTGAAGGCCTTTCTCGAGGGACACTCATGCCGAAATACAAGTTGAAAAGGCTGTGCACAGAGAATTGGTGGAGTTATGCGTGAGGAAATGGGTAAAATAAATAAACATCTTATCGATATTGACAGGAAACGGGCAAGAAGGGTTGTTTTCTGGGTGCGAAGAGCAAAATTCAAATAACAAGCCGATTATTTTGGAATTAAGCTCTGTGTCAAGTGTTTGGACACACGAACGACCCAGTGCAGAATCTTCAATTGCCAATTGTAAAATTTGATGTGCACACTATCGAACAGAGCGCTGACTTAGATCTTTATCACTCCTTAGCAACTTTCTCCATCCTTCATGGTGTATAAGATAGCAATTTTCGTGCTGTAAATTGTTCATTTCGCCCACACCATTCGCACTGGGGAGAAAGAAGTTTGTATATTAAATGCAACAAACAAAGGCGAGCCGAAAAACCTTATCTCTAGCGTACGCGTATTTATTCAACATGTTATTGAAAAATGAGTTCAACTGACGATGAGGGGATGAGCCGTGTGATTCAGTATAGGAGGGAAAAAAATATTATTTTCCTCTGCCACCCTCAGTAAAAATACTGTTCTTCTCGCCTTCCCCGCACATTGACAGAGAAAAATATAAATATTGTTATCGACGTGCTGACATTTCATAAGCAAATTCTGGGCGAGAGCTAATAGAATGAGAAAACACACGAACCCATCAAAAAGTAATTTTCATTTTATGGCACTTTTCCATTCTTTGCCCTCCTTCGCATCACTTCCTGTCCTTTCGATTTTTTTTTCTGGATCAAGCACTAAGAAGAGATTTTCCGCACTGTTCTTTCCAGATATTTCGCGATTGGAGAAGTCACCTTTGCTGGCGAATGGATACAATCCACCTCCGACTCATCTGAATCACATGCAATTTATGCAGATGAACCACCATCCGGGAGCAGCCCTGCTCAATCCGTCGATGCCACCCCATGGAATGCCACGACCAGATGGAGCCATGATGAAGGGGGCGAGCGGGATGCCGGGAATGGATGCAATAGCCAGGTGATTATCACATTTGTACTGCTTTAATTGTTTGGAAAACTTCTCGCTTTTGTGTGAATGAAACGTGGCTGAGAATTCGCTGAATAATTCATTTGATTTTTATGATAACATCAAGATAATATCTGTGCTAGCAAAAATCTGGACAGATATTTTTAAATTTGCATTAAATTGTTTGCTCTTTCTATCTGAGAGAGTCATTTGGTTTTTCAGCAACGGTTTAAAAGTTAAAGAGACGAAAAAGTGGTTTCTTACCATTTCAATGATTGTTCAGATTTTTCTGAACACAAGCTTTAGAAAAGACTACATTTAAGCATTTAAACTCATGTGTTTCAAGTGAATTTAGAATTTTTGTAAATCAATGTAATTGGAATGTTCAGTGAATTTCTCAACAACTAAAATAGACTTGATTTCCATCGCAGGTCTGGAATCTGGGAGAACTGCCGGGCTGCTTATGAGGACATCGTGAAGCATCTGGAACGGTGAGTCTATATGGCAATCAATTTGATTTAACAGTATCATTTTTAATCGCCACTGTCGACTAATTGGGAAATTTACAGAGAGATCCATTTTTTATCATATATTTAGGGTGGCAAATATCATCCCTTGTGGCGTAACTTAACACCACTGGAGGATTGTATGTGTTTGTGCGTGTGTGTGTATTTGTCGTTTTCCGGAGATAGAGGCGGTGGCGTTTCCAAAACCCATGACTGTGGAACATAGATGATTAATGACTAGAAATTTTTGTTGTTTCGTCAACTTCTTTCTTTTTTTTTCAACGCTCTCATGTGCAACTTCTTTTTTGTTCACTGGAGGGTTGCGCGCCTCACAAGCTCAGCAGATTTCGAGTGTGAGATAGTCAAGTGGATGAGATTTTATATCACATTTTCACTGGTCGCACAGGGGCAGAAAATGTATATGGGTATCGCGGGATTTGTTGTAATTTTTCTGATTATATGGCCTTCCTTAATAAAGAATGACAAGTTGCGATTTTCTTTAGAGATGATTTTCTCCTCATCAGCTTTTCTTTTGCCAAACGCACCCCTCCTAACCGGCATTCATGTGAGAGAGTGAGGGAAAAGTTGCTCAAGGAAGCATAAAGATTCGAGATTATTTAAATTAAAAATAATTTTATTAATGATTCTTTCGTGATATATATTTACATTTATTTCCTATATATGCCATGTGGATTCTGTAAGGTGGAAAAAGAGGAATAAAAGTAAACAGAGATGAAAATAAAATTTATATCAAAGCTCTTTTCACGGGAAAATTCATCTGTCTTCTTGGGTGTTTGAACAAGGGAGATAATGAAAAAGTGTGATTTATCGTCACGTATTTTGAATTATTTCTACCTAGCAAGTCGTGGCTTAATTCAAAAAGGTTGGGGTAAAGTGGGAAGAATAGATCTTAGTTATTATTTGCTCACAAACTGACCAAGAAGGTTATATTTTCACGTGTGATGCTTTGAGAAGAACTCGTAGAAATACGCAAGAGAATGAATTTCTGCGATACAATGAACCACATATTATCTTTATAAATCATCTCCTTCTGAGACAAGTGAATTGTACACTACGGGATGTCTTGGCGTTTGTGTTGAATGCTTAGAATTGCCACGTAGAGCGGGATTCATACATATATATATATCTATACCTCGGTCTTCAATTTAATCCTGTATAACTCAACACACGACGTGCAAAGAGAATGTGCTTCTCTTTGGGTTTGATGGCGGAAAACCATATGGTTTTAACCTTATTTTCGCCCCTCTCAAAAAATAATGTCCCCCAAAAAAGGTAAATTGATATTTACTTTTAATAAACCTCTTAGTCAACGCATTAATTTTGCTGTTCTCCGCTTCACACATCCGTCAATCATTTACATTTACGAAAATGGTCCAAAATTAATTTGTGTTGAGAAAAGAAGATGCTATTATGAGAAATCTTAATCACATGTTTCATCCATGTGACTCCTCCCCATTCCGGGGGCAGCTGAAAAACAGTGAAATGATTCAAATAAGTATGGTATAATTTCATAAATGAGCACTCAACGGTAGACAGTGGAAAAGTGTACATACATATATAGCAGGGTTTTCTGTCGAAATTTCTATCAGAAGGAGAATGATAAATTTCCACACTTTTTCTACGCGACTGCCTCCTTGAAGTGAAGAAAAATATCCAATTAGCATAATTTGACACTGAACTACGCCTCATTTCCATTGAACCAGAGATGACTGATGACCCAAAATTAGGTGCTTATACCAATGCTCCTTCCATAGGTTAGAAGTTAGACTTCTTTCTTTCTGGACAAGATAAAAAAAAGAGGCCGAACTTCTCAAGATATAGTCATCATCAAATGGCAAATTTATGGCAAACTTGTCATCATATTTGACTTTTAAATAACGGGCAGATGGAAAAGAATGTTGGGTGTGCTAGAAAAAGTTTAAATTAATCCTCCCTCTGGGGTGAAAACGTGATAAAAAATCCCTGATATCGCTCTTTCACGCGTCTGCCATTGAAAAGTGGAAGAGAGACTTTGCATAAGTGACCACTTGAAGTTTTGCTGACACCTCAAATATACATTCCCAAGCCATATCACATCGCTCTTTGATTTTATCCCCGCACGGAATCTCGCAGCATCGCGTGTTGGTGAGTGGCACTCGAAGGTGAAGATGAATTTCTATATTTTATTCGCACATTCGAATTTGATTTTGCCATAGCTAATAACCTGACGATGGCAGAAAATGCTAAATGTTTAAAAACACACACACACTTTCTTTCTCTCTTTTCCTTGGATTTCATCCAGTACAAAAATGCTGCAATAATTCCATTTTTGCCCTTTGTGCACGTTTGAATAAATATCAATTTTAAAGTTAATCAAATACCCAGCTAAACAAATATTAAACATTGACCTTTTTCTCTGGCTGGTGTGTCTCGAGAGCACACCCTCTGACACTTTTTCTGCTCAATTCTCTGCACATTTGCACATTTGGCTCGTGCTGAGGAGCAGTGACATATGGATTTTACACTTCCTGAAAACTTAAATATATCTATTTGTGAATTTATTTCCCGTAGGGAAATATAATAATTAATAACACAATGTTGTTTCTCTAGTTGTCATTCCCAATAACGCAGAGTTTGGATCTAATAATCCTAATCACTTTTATTGTTTACGAGACTTCTTTTTCCTTTCATCAATCAATAGATCCTATTATATATATATATATATATATATATATATATAGAATACCTTAATATCGGCACAAATTCATCAGCGAGATTTGCCATTTGCAGTCACCATGAGCCTTGTATACATTTTGTGCATAAAGGTATAGAGCGTGTTGGCTCTGATGAAAGGGGAGACCCTCACGTGTGACCATACATAAAATGATGATGATAAGTGACGATTCGTGGCGAATGAAAAATCCACGAGCGGTTTTATTTTCAGACAATTCACCAAATGTGTGTACTTTTCAACCACTCCCGCAAGGGATTCATTTCCATTTGTAAATAGGTAAAAAGTGACGATTTGTGGGTTCAGCATGAATTGTGGATGTTATTTGAGCAATCCTCTCTGGCTGTTTGACTTTTGCAGATGATGATTGTCAAACAGTTGATTAAAATTCTGTGTAATTTTACAAGTTTACGGTTCATCAGTCAGCTATATGCGGGATGGAAATAATGAATGCTTGTGACCTTTCGCGGAATAATTCGAGAAAATACTGCATATATCCAATAATGTCAATGTTAATACTTTTCTGTGTCTAAAAGCAAGTTAGGCGCTCAGCGGTGAATCATGCGAATGAAATAGTATTTGCTTGCTGCCACCCTAAAATCTGCGCACAACCCTTCATGATGTACATTGAAGATATTAGAAATGGGTGTAAAGGAGAGAGGGAGAGAGAGGGAGATAGAGAGAGACATAGGAACAGAGAGAAAGAGAAATATCTTTATTTGTTCATCTGACATCCAAATCGATGATTGATCGAATCGGAATCTGCATAATATTTTTTTCTTTTTTAGAGGGCTTGGAAACTATAGGCTCGTTTACCTAAGTAAAGTGAATTTTTAGAAAATGAAAGACTACGACACATCAGGCATTTAATCAAATTTAACCCGCACAGTGTCACATATGAATTTGCAAAAGCATAACTGTTGTGAGTGTGGAATTTAATAATTACTCTTTCATTGCTAACTCGGCTCGCAAAAGGGTTTTATAGCGTTGGTAAAGAGGGTTGATGGTGCAAAAAACCACCCTGTGTAATTTTTCCCTCCACTTGAATTGCCATGAAGATTTCTCTCAATGTGAATTGGAACATGAGTGAAAATGATGGAAAATTGTATTTGGGAAAATAGATTTTGCAGATATTGCGCGTGGCATGACAAAAATTGATGACTTTTCATTGATTTCTGCAGATATGTTTGACCATGGAGTTACGGGCGGGGATGTTTTTGATACATCTTGATACGTTGTGTGCTGACTTTTGTATCATTTATTAAGTCAAGATCACAAATTATGTTGACAGCGTGTCAGCAACAGACCATCAACGGCTTCCCGGCGTCGAATTTTGCCACATTCATTTGCACGCTGTCTTGAAAATTGATTAACTTTCAAGAAATCGCAGTGGTAAACATGGCAATCATCCCCGAATTTCGCGAGATTTCCCATCTATACGACTTTCTTCAATACATCCAATATTTGTCTTCATTCCTCATCACTCTCCGCGTTATTTGGGTGGGTGGTATTCTTGAATATCTTCCAATGGCATTCTCGCGAGGAGTTATGAGAGTAAAAATAAATAAAGTGGCACGTCTTATCGTTGATTTTCCTTGGCATTTACCCGCACGAGTTCTCATTTGAACCCCTCCAACCAGAATGAGGAGACATTTAGAATAAATATTGTGCGGTATAAAACCATTCGATGGTATTGAAAATTGTATTAAAAAAAGATCAATTCGTTTCGTGTGCTGCATATTTGTGCTTATCTCCACCGTAACATGTTTTACCATATTTTCCCTCACACTCGCCGGGATTTTTCATTGAGGGAAAGAGTAGAAATTGTGAAATGGTCTGGGGACTTTTGTCAAATTGGGGGTGGTTCTCAACCCTTGTTGATTTTTCATTCACTCATCCCACGAAGTCATCGACAACTCCACGAGAGCGATGGTACTTCTTTTCCTGCACTTGTGAAAGAAGGAAGAAAGGAAAAAAAACATATAAATGTTCCATTTCACCCCCTTTGCCTTCCATGTAAGGGTGGCGTTCTTGAGAAGAGGCGGAAAAGCCATTGAGAAACCGCGACAATCCTTTTATTCCTTCCCACAGGACACATAATCTCCGACCTTAAAAAATTTAAGTGCCAATTTAGGAGGTGATCTTACATTGAAATCACATTTATTCTATCACATTTCTTTCTTCTCACTTCCATCCAAATCGGGAGGGTGTGCTTTTTCATAATGGTACATCTTTTGGGTGGCAAAAAGGGGTGGAAATGAGAGTGTTTTGAAGATCATAACGTCTCAAAGATTTCTCGGGACGAAGAAATGTGTATGCCTTTCTAGTATAAAAACGGTAATATTTCAACTGGTGTGAGTGTATTTATTGAAAAATCCCTTGAATGGAAGTTGAGAAAATTGATATTTGGCTGTGCTGTCCGATTCCATTCGTCGGATTCAGGAGAAATGGCAAGAATTCCTTCAATGCCATCAAATAATCCCATAGCATAACAACATATCGTCTGTATGTGGCTTTTTTCCAAGGGATAGAAATTAATAAAATTGCATGGAATTGCAAACATTGTTTTGGGACTTGCTTATGGCATTTTTCACATACCATTTTCATTTATTGATGGACACAATTTGGGAAAGAGAAGGGAACAAGCCTCACTTTGCTTTCTCAGCACGTGCATATTTAAAAAATCCCCATCCAATTGGCGATATTCAAATGAAGATTCTATGGATAGAATAGATGTCACACTCTATTCTGTTTCTATATTTTTTGGCGAGGGTTGGAACAGCTTACTCCTTATAAATTTTGCAATTTCATAGATGTATATAAAAAGATGCGGAGCAATTGAGTTAAAATAATAATCATAACGTGATGGAGCAATGAAAATGCAAAAGTGCAAGAAGTCGCGAAGGGAGGATGACAGATGTGATAAGTACTTTGCATAAATTGGTGCTTGTTTTTTTCTTCCTTTACATTTCTTCCTACAGAGCAGTGTTTTAGAGAGGGGTCTCCTAGAGGAGCAATATGTCATTTGCTGATGATTGCTCTCTGTGCTCTGCACGATATTCTCGGATAGGTTTGCAAAAGCCGAATTGACAAATGACACAGGGGAAAATTTGAATAAAATTTACCGTGGAAAGAGACCTCGAATATGATCGAATGTCACAGAAAATATGTGATACTGCTGGAATTTTCTTGAAAGTGTCGGAGATAAAATGAGAGATTGTTTTTTGTGATACTTTGAATCACAATTTTTCTTTAATTGTGATCATTTGATATAATTCTGTTCATCACTCTGAAATGGATTGAATAATTTCAGTATTGTTTCACTTGTCAGACTTATCAATGCAAAAATGCTGAGTTCTTTTAGTTTTAGTTTTTATTTACTTTGCTAGTTGTGAACAGGTATTTTCTGCGTCTCAAGTCGTTAGGAAATCAAATGAAGTCCACATTTGCAGCTAGTCAGACTTTCATCCTCATTCGATCTAGTTGTTGCCTCTCTCCTGTCCATTTGGCTTTTCTGCTAATGTGCAAATACGCACTCGGCGCCTCATTGCCACCCCCAGCGGCAGCCAGCCAGAAACAATAGACCGTTGTCGAGAGTGCGCTATGTTTTGGGGCGAAACAATGTGCGAGCATGAAGCAATATATAGGAGGCACTTAATTGAATGAACGGACAACTAATTAAGTTGTTGTGTGCTTGTTTTTGCCTTAATTTCCCACACCTTTTTGGTGGGGGAGGCGCGCAAGGCTCATTTCACGAAAATCTTGCCTTGTCACAATTGCTATTTCCGCGCATTGCAATTTCGCCATTCGCTCCTTGGTGATGTTCTGACGACATCATTGTTGATCTCTCGAATGGGAGTCCATTTGAATAATGAGCATGCTCTTTCTCCTCCTTTGGGGCGCTAGAGACAATTTTTAATGCCAATTAATGAGACGACCTTTTGTTCTCTTCATTCTAGCCTTAATTCACATTTAATTTCCATGCGGGGTGTGCGAATTCCGCCCTGGGAACTCTGGGTGAAATTAGATCAATTGGAATGATAGAACTGAGTCAGTGAAAAGGAAGGAAACATGTGAATTACCTTATGGTGAAGACAATACCTTCATTTAGTGTCATGACGGAGGGAATGTGTGTGTAAATCTTTATGATCTTTTGCATATGCAAATTATGTGAAAATAGACTCACTGTGCGTGGTCCTGGGAGCTCTATTTCAATTCACTGGCATCATTACAAATCCCAAAATAGAGGATATGGCGTAAGAGGTTGGCAGGCAAATGAATTAAATTAAAGGATTTTCACTGTGTGTGATTCACAATTACAAGAAGGGGGTGTAATTCAATTAAATACATACATTGTGTGTTGGGTATATATGAACTTAGGCTTGTGAAGGAATGACGAAGAAAGCGAGGGTGGGATTGATATAAGACATCACGAGATTATTTATCCATTTCAAATCCATTAAGTCGTCTCCCGCGGATGGAAACAGAGGTTTTTTGCGTCCTACCTTTCACCCTCATTCGGCCCTTTGTCAGTTCTGAAATTACTCTTTTTCTCTCTTGGCACAGAGGACAATTAGATTGTTGAATGAGACTAAAGATGGGCGAGCACCTTACCCTGGGTTCTCTCTTTCGCCACCCCGCAATTGCACGAGGGTGGGATATGAATGTAAAACTGTCTTAATTTTTTTCATTTGCGCCCCTTCTTGGGGTCCTCATTAAGCATGCTTAATGTGCTTAATTCACCCACAAACCAGAGGAAAATTTCTCGTACTGAAAGACACCGCAAAGCGACAGAGAAAATATAAATGGGCACCCCAAGCCTCGAAAAATGTACACTTTGTAATGTGCAAGTTTAATTTTTAATGACTAAATGCTTTTAAGTTCGGTTTAGCTTTTAAAGCTCCAGTGGGCGCACGACTCGCCCTCTTGTTAATATTATTATTGAATGCTATGGGTAAATGGTTCTGTGCCGGGGTGAGCAAGATGGAAATAATATATTAAAATGCGATATGGCACCGCGAGAGGCACAATTTTCACCCTGAAAATTTTCCGAGGGGCTTCGAAAGTTATATCGTCCTGGCCTCTGCCTGCATGCCGCATGCTGCAGAGTGAGAGAGCATTTATTGAGAATTATGTGGTGTTTTCCCAATGATAAATGCATTTAAAAATTTGCATGAGTAAATGGGTTTCTGTTCGAAGGCACGTAATAGAGCGCAAATAAGGATAAATTAGTGTTTCGCGCTCTGAAGGGCGCGCAAATTTGCCATGGAAGATATTCCCTACATTATACTCACTTCCCTCTTTCCCCTTTTCTTTGCAGATTGCGTGAGGAGAGAGGTGAGGACAGGGCAGTAGCTCTGGATCAAAAACCACGAGATCTCAGCTCGCAGAATGGTGAGTTGTTCTCAATCAACACTATGTAGCCAACAAATACAGGAGATGAAAGGCTATGAAGTCCTTTCCAAAGAGTCTTAAATAAAAGTTACACGCACACTTGAATTTTGTCATGCAGGTTCATCGAATGGTCACAGTCCTGTGCTGAATTTATCTAAATCCAATATCGATCACAATAGTGCTGATGATCGATCGGATCGCAGTGAGATTCACTCGCCAGTGCCATCGATTCGCGACGAAGACGAAAATCTAAGTGAGGAAAATGTCTCGGAGATTGACGATCGTGAGGAGAAGGATGAAGGTAAGGATCACTTTTGTCTTGACTGGGTAACCATTCGTATAACTCACTCGCAGGAATCGTGATCTAGAAGCATAAAACTGAGCAATACGTAGCGGGGAGGCTGATCTGGAACGATCACAATGCTCGTTCCATGTGGTGGAGAGTAAAAAAATATCTGTTACTTGTACGGGATAAAATGGACGCGGTGTTTCTCTCAATTATAAATCAGTTTTCATCTTATTGACAACTTACACCGATTTCACGTGCTTGAATTAATATTAATTAATTTTAACTCTTTTTCCCCGTATGCGCTTTTGCTTCTTTGCCAATATTATAACTAACTATATACAGCACACAAAGAAGTGGCTAAAGTTCTCTTTATCTCTCTCTGCCTCACAAGAGTAGTGTGTAACCTTTGACTTCAAGTTGCAGAGAGATCAATAAATCAAGTGATGAAAATTTCTAGGCAATATCTGGACAGTCTGTGAAAATGGTCTGCGCAGAGAGAGAGAGAGAGAGAGAGAGAGAAAGAAAGAGAGAGATTGTTCCATAAACTTCAATCTCTATTATTATGATCAATTGTCTTTCAGTGGTAAGACATGATGGAATTTCTATTTTATTTAACTTTCCTCTTTCTCTGCTCAAGATATTTCAGATGCTGAGCAAGATCATCCAGCGCCACCGCCGACGTCGATGCCCAATTCCGAGCAGGCGCTTAATTATTCAACTCTGGCCGCTACAGCCGCTGCCGTGGCGGCAGGAGGCCCAGGCAGCGTGCCTGATCAGGATCCCAGTTCCTTGTCATCGACTGAAACCCTTCTGAGAAACATCCAGAGCCTCCTCAAGGTAGCGGCTGACAATGCCCGTCAGCAGGAGCGACAGATCACTTATGAGAAAGGTAAGTTTGATATGCTTTCTATCAAGTGATACACATTTCGATTAACTTAGGGCCGAAATCACTTTCACGTCACCCTTTTCCAATCAAGCCATATCGTTTATGATGTTGGGCTACGATTCACTTTGTGCGGAAGAGCGACTAGAAAATTCTTATCAAACACAATTGCCGCCGTTTACAGTGCTCCAAACACACGCGGAGTGGTGAATAATCAAAGAGAGACAGAGAAAGAGAGGGAGAGAGAGAGAGGGGGTAGAATTCGAGTACAGAACAAACATTTTCACTGATAAATAGAAACTAACATATGTTCTTCAATATCATTCACTGTTCATTTGATAATGCGCGGTGAGTGTGCGAGGCAGCCAAAATCCTAAATTGATATCAATAATTGGAACATATGCTGCATATTGTAGGCCAATAGCAGGTTAATCATTGAACACTTTCCCTCGCTTGAAAATATACCCATATAGATTTATTTTATCAGCAGCAATTTACCAAGCATTTCAATTCCCTTGAGGTATTGAACACATATACTTGAAAATTACTGGAAAATTTTCCTGAATCGTATCATTTAAGGGGTATTCAAGTAAGTAAATCTCCATCGAGTTTCAATAAATCTCGCTGTGTAGCATTAAAACTTCGCTCTATCGCGCTTAATGGTCTTTCTTGACTTGCTATCAATGTTGACCATAGGGAACGCACAAGAACTTGATGACCACTCAAGAAGGCATCGCGCGGGAATCACAGAAAATTCACCATCCAGCAGCTTAATATCGCAATTGTACCCGAGGGGCCATTCATAAAGATTTTTTTGTACACCCTATTACTGAGACTAGCTCAAGTCTGTTCGTTGAAAATATCAAAATTATCATTCAACAGACTATAAAATATATTTGTTCAGAGTCACAGAAAATTTGCGTATTAATCAGGTGTAGGTATATTTAAACGGGGATCGTGTGATGAAATTCTGATAATTTTTCGTAAGATATTCGAATGTCTATGGTGTCTCAGTATGACTGTCCTTTGGTGGTATAACTCTCCATCGCATGGGGCAAAACTTGAGAATGCTCTTTGGCTCATCTTTCCTTCTTTATTTGTACTTCTTTTTCCACTCTTTCAATTGCGTTTTGCTGTTGAACCCAAGAGAATATTTCTACTGATTGAAATTGATTATTGGTAGTTTTGCACTCCGTGTGTGATGTATTTGTTTGATCCTCCCTGCTTATTTATCCGCAGCATCCATTATGTTTCTCTTCTTCTCGGTGCCTTTTTGAATGTTTTGGGCATTTGATAGTGCGACTATGGGAGAATTCCACGCGAAGTGCAATCGAAAAAACATACACACTCACACACGATTCGATAGTGGAGACAATTTGTTGGGACAATTTCGCATAGATCACAAGAACAGCGCGCGGTGTGTGAGGAAGAAGTCCGTGTGAGTTGCAGCTTCCACGGTGGATAGCCTCCGGGGCGGCTGAAGCTTCATCGGCAGCTCAAGCGGTGAACTGCGGAGGAAAGGAAGGCGAATGATGTGGAAGTGAAAATTCACTCCTTCCATATTTCTCTTGTGCGTCTTCATGGAGCCCCTCGTGCCTCCTAAAACAATGAGCACAGTGCGCGATAATAATTGGTATTTCTTATGCACTGGCATCTAAGTGCCTGCAGTCAAGTTGATGTTGGAATTTTTAATGGCACAACACATTGACGGATGGTCAGCGCCTTGAGGAATGTCCAAATCGACCAGAAAAATGTATAATTGCATTAATTTTGCTCACTTTGTATACCTGATGAGTTAAGCTTGACTTGCCTTTCCGTTCCTAGAGGGGGGTTGATTAATTAGCAATGTTGGGGAAGTTTTATTTCTCGACGGATTTTTGAGGATAATTTTCCACGGAGGGAATACAAATTGATTTTGAACCCTTTGGCCCAATTTAATTTTTTTCCATGGCAAAGTGAAATTTATTTCTACGTCTGTTTATTTTGAACCTACATATGTATATGTATTGTTGTTTTTCTGAACATCGAGAAAATCTTCCCTTCACTTTCCATTTCACCCCCCAAAAAACATGAGCCCCACAGGATTTAAATACAAACACCCAAAATGGGAAGAAGGGCGAAATGTGGGATTCACTCTATCTTGATTTACAAGATTAATTTCTTTTCGCTCCAATAATTCAATTAATTCACAAATGCCTTGAGCATTTTGGGATTTGCTGCCTGGGATTGTATAAACTTTGGCATCCCTCAAATTTTCCATTCCAACTGTCGATTTTGCACTCACACCATTCGGCCAATTTCACATGTTTCTGATGCTGTGTAAACAATCCCTAGATTTTCCTTCTCTTTCAACCGCGATGATCGCGAAGGCGTAGGGCCACAGACAAGATCTCTTGACAATTCAATTATCTACAGTGCGGAATTCCAACATTGGAGGACAATTGTTTGGTGCTCCTTTTTGTCCAGAAACTCAATTATGTCGCAGCGGTAAAAAGCGCGCGAAAAGTGACTCACGACTTTCCACGGGACTTCACGGAGATTCCTTCCCGGAGTCGTGGAGGCATTCCGCGACTCGCTCTTGTGTCTTGTTAACACACGATTACCATGTAAATTGACTTCTCCACTATCGACTCCAGATGCAATTAATTAGTGCGGATGTTTTGCTGACCTTTTCCTATATTGCATTGTTGGGGTGATATTGTTTCGGGCTCCCAACATTGAACATTTTTTGTTGGTCATCATTTCTTGTATTTCCACAAAAGAAAAATGTTAATAGGCACTTACTTTTCTTAGCTTACGCAGTGTTGAGATTTTGTGGGACAAGAAATAATATGATCTCAATTTTATAAATTTCTACCACGGAATTTTGTTTCTTCATGTTAATTCATTTAAATCATTTCATATAATTGTTTCAAGCAAATTCTGAGTATAAATTATTCGTTTCCTTTGTTTAAGGAAGTTTTATTAATTTATATTGATGTCGTATGAAATTAGTGACTAATCAAATGCCGCAACATTCGGCTCAGTAAATTTTAGTGATCTTCTTAACCCTTTTAGCAATCTCTATATGTAGTTACCTTATTTCTCAATACTGGCTCATTCGATTGATCACAGAAAAGCCGTCATGCGAAATCGCAGCTCCTAATTCCCAACTGTTATTTCGTTGGACTCGCGAGAGATATTCAGTACTGTGAGGTAATCTCATTAGGTGCACTTTGATATACTGAACATAAATAAATTTTAATGATATCTCTTTCTCTCTGTTTGGTTGGGAGTTTTTCACGAAGGCGCTACGGAAGAATTGCGCTTATGGCCACAATGAGAGGTATCCCTGTGATATCGAATACAGATAAAAGTCCAGAGAGTCCTGCAGTCTGGGCTGTAATGCGCATCGCGATAAGAATCTCTCCTCCACTTGGTCGGAGAGATTTAGATAGTTTTTTGCCATGTTGCTGAGGCGCAAAAATTCTTCGCTCTCTCTTTCTTTGTGCTGCCCATTTTTGTCCAATTCCCCATGATCGCGACACCCAAAGGACGGTCTGTGTGTGTGATGCAGGTTTTTGAAGAATGCCATGGGTGCTCTACCAGATTCACTAGTTTGCGGATCGCCAGCAGGAGTCAAGGAAGTGAGACTGGCGGCGATGAGAAACACGCATTCTAAATGGATATCTGGTCAAACAGCCTCTTTGTCTTATCTGTGCTTGTTATCGAGGCGTTTAGTGATAAATACCATTCGCAGTTTATACTGTGGTTTTATGCTATTTAATTTATTATTGCATTTAAAGAGCATAATGCTGTTGTTTTCGCGACTGGGGCGAGGGAGGCCATCGAGCCACGACAATGTGAAAAGGAGGCCCCAACATAATAATCTAATCTCGTAGGCCGCGTGGACGAGAGAATATCGTTAAGAGGTGACTCGCGGAGTGAATGTTAAATCTGCTGTTCAGATGAAATCTCTTGCTCTCTCTCTCTCTTCGCTGCATTATAACCTAAAATGCACCGAGTGGCTGTGTTGGTAAAAACGAGTCAATTAATTGAGAAATTCAATTGGGATTTTTTATTCTCATGCATAGCAAACTTTTCGATGGGAAAGACAATAATATTCTGCGCCACCAATGATGAGGATGGATGGCGAAGATGTTTATTAGAAATTCCATCTACCCCGTAGCCTGTTATTGCTTATGTTACTGATTCAGATTTATATACCATAATAATTTAACCGCCGAGCTTGAAAATTCCCATATACAATGGAACCTCAGAGAAAAATCCTGTTTTCTTGCATAAAATAAATATTGTGGAGAGAAAGAGCGAGAAAGAGAGAGTAATATTATTATTATTGAAATTATTTCCTATCTAGCAAATAAAATACAATTCCATTCGGGTTTGTTTAGAAATTATTAAGCACACGCTCCTGTATTTTGTGATAATCAGCCCAAGGCAAGACTTATGAAACGTTGTTTCCTCTTTCGTATTATAAAGCCGAATGGATCTCGGCAAATGTTGCGTTCTGACAAAATGGTAGAAATATTGCACGTTGAAGAAAAAAAAACAGAAAGAAGTATAGGTGAGGAAGGAGGGATGGTCATTAGGGTGGTGAAATACAGTGCTGTACACTGTAAGTAACACAGATGAATTTTTTCTCCTTTTTAGAGCACAATAGAAAGATCCAGAAGATACATATGCGAGATACAATGCGTCAGAATTTAATAATGCTTTGAAAGCAAATTTAGTAATGTAATCAGACCCAAATTCATGTAATTTTTCCTCGAAATGTGAGAGCGAGAAAATCAGTCGGGCAGTGTTTTCTTGCAGTGAAGCTCAAAGGAGCAATATAGGCTCTTAATGTAGCTGTGCAATAAAAATTTAAATAAGGCAGGATTGCATGAAACACGGTATGAACATTACTTTCCATTTTTTCAATTAAAACGAGACAATATAATTTCGGTTTCGTTGTTCCTTTTCTCCGGAGTCCTTATGGGGCAAATTGTGATGACGAAGGGTGGTTCTTCACCCAGCACATAAAGGTGTTCCTTGTAGGTGGAGGCGCGCGCGATGGAATTATCGTCTGAGGTGGGCGGTGGGTGAGTCGCAGCTGCTTTAATGTGATTTTTAAATTACCCTTAGTCATTACTTTTTGGTTTTTTCTCCACTCTCCTCGCCCTCAAATTGATTCCACCGGAGAACGTAAACTTCCCGCCCAAGAAGTTTTTTTTTCTTTCCTTCATTCTTTGGCTAAGGAGAGCTCCTGCAATATGGAATATTATACGATTATGAATCTTATCCCGGTATTTCTTTTGTGCTAAGTGAAATTAATAGCCCTCAGATATCATATGGCGAGAGATGGTGATGCTCAAGAGGGGATGGAAATGTGCCTTTTTCGGTCCGTCTCACTGTCATCATTCCGCACTTAAGGGTGCGCGATGGTGAATTAGTTAAAACAGGAAAACGCCAATGTAATTGTTTCTTCTCTCAAGGCTTTCAATCCCCATTTTATAAATCATCTCTTTCCCGGGGATCTTTCAAAAGCCATTGCGATTGTATGAGGTGGGCAATAAAATAATAATAAGAGAGAGATACACTTTAATTTCACATTCTACATATACAATTAAATATTCCGTCGTCAATGTTTAGGGACAAAATTGTATGGCTAATTGTTAGGTCTCTTTACCCTCAAGATATGGCAAATCTACGTATCAATTGAGGTTTAATGTCTCCAAGTTTGGGTAGAATCTTGGAAAATATTCACACCATTCCAATCGAGATGCGCAGAGGGACTCCAATAAATGCTATATGACTTTAATTAAACACACTATTTGAGTCATCTGGCTGAGTCTCATTTCTATTCGAATCACACTCTCTTGTGTGACCAATATTCCACATGTTAGACCTCATGGAATGCATGCGAAGAAGTAGAAAAGCCAGGCGAGATCCCCCTTGGAAACATGTGGCGCCCATTCGATAGGAAAACTGTTAGACACATGGATGGTATTAGTTCCAACTAACCCCTTAATTGCCCCCCGACACAAAATATGAATATGCATTTTGGTGGTGTCCCAAAAAGGAGGAGTAGCAGAGAATGGGTTCATGGGATTAGAAAGATATTGTGTGTTGTTATAAATTTTGGGGAAAAGAGCATATAAACTATTTTGGAATTTGGCTGGTCACAGATTATAGTCATTAAGCGTGGTTCCTGAGGTTGCATCACTTTGAGAATTATGAAAAGAAATAGATGTTCTTGAGAACATCAGCAGCCAATCAGTTTCATTCCATCATGGAAAGGTTTCCTAATCTCATCTTAATTCCGTCTTTTTTAGCCGAACTGAAGATGGACGTGCTGCGGGAGCGTGAAGTGAAGGATTCTTTGGAGCGTCAACTGAGCAATGAGCAGAAATTGAGGGGTGAGTAGCTAAAATAACCCCCTCCCCCCGGGGACACTGGGTGTCTTTTTCTGCACATTTGAGTGCAAACAATGCGGGAAATGTGTTCATTTGCTGTAACTGCTCAGAAGTGTAATGAACTCGGAATGAGGAGGGTTGATGCTGTTTTTCAAGCCTCATCTGTCATCATTGTGTCCTCTTCGGTGTGAAATCTTGCGCTCATGGCAAAGGGTGAAGGATAATTCCATTGATCTTGTTTTCTGTGTATCTTCATTCAATTCATTAGACATATCTCTCGAAGACTTCTCAAAATTACATGCGGCATTAATTATTGACAATATTCGTAGAGAAATCCGATCAGGGTCATTTTTCAGGTTGATTTATTCTCGCCATGGTCTTAATAATACGTTGTCATTTTAATGATCACTGACTGTCTCTCGTGAATCCCCCAAGTTCAATGACGCGCGATGTAAATATTTCGCGAAGACGCGTCTTGATATAAAATCCAGTTTCTCATAAATTTTCATTCTCTGTTGAGACCACCTTTTTGGCAGTGGATGCAATTACAAATCCATTAGAGCATAATCGGAAACTAAACATTCGTGACTTCTGTGCTTTTCTTGTTATAGCAAAATTGAGCGACGCCTCAAATATTGTTTAACTTTGTGTTTTTCTTCTTGAAATCCATTTATTAAATAACAAACCATGGGTGAGAAAGTACTATAGAGGCTTTGCATTTGGAATAGGGATGATTTGGCGCTATTAAATTGACATTATTTATCCCCTTCTTTTTCCATGCGCGCATGAAAACTTTGTCATTTTTGAATATTATTATTGGCGTGTCTCAGGATACTTTTGAAATAAATTTCTTGTCTATTTTATATTGATTTTGTACACAAACACTCGAAATTGCGGTGTGAACAAAATCACTCTATGGAATTTCATATTTAGGTGAGAGATATATAATTTAATTTCCCGGCATTTTTCGGAAGGGGGGACGTTGAGTGGTGGCCAAAAACGCGCAGACACACCCATTTCCTCTGTTCATGTAATATAACAAACCCTAGCAACAGCATCTAACCTATGGAGTCATTTCATTGTTCATTTTCATCCTTGTCTATAATCGAGAATGGTGTTGAGAGATTGTCGGCGGTGGTTTGTTAAAGCTCCTCTGAACTCTTCATATTGGTGTGAATTTATCCAATGAGTATGTGTATGTGAGTGTAGGAGATGAAAAGCGCACATATTTATGCCAGGGAAGCTCTTGTAAGGTGTGCTTTTGTTGTTTTAATTAACGTTGGAACCTGAAGCTTTTGTCTTGTAGTTGTCGCAGTCGCATTGGCACGTTCCTATTTTCACCTGGTGTGCTTAACATTCCAGATGCTGGCGATTTTGCTTCCCAAACTTATGTGGCATTGAGACCTTAGTTTATTGATAGGGAAAGTGCGAAATATTTCGGCTAGTGTATTATTCTTTGGCCAAAACACATATATCATATGATGTCAATGCAAATGTGACTGAAAAATTTCCTTCGAGTTTTGTCCCTTCATTGAAAACCCTCCTAGGATGTGGAGAATATTCTTGAATGCTCGCCCACGAAAATCCTGCTGTTCTGTCCGAATCTTGAGTTCATATGACCCTACACTTCCCCTACCTATTAAAATTCACCGCAAAACAACCACGCGAGCTCTTTAATTCTCCTCAAAGACTATCGCCCAGATATTTCTTCTTTTGAAGAAAAGAAGGGAAATTGTTGGGAAAATTGGGAGCGTAACAAGAGAGAGAGTGATATGCATTGAGGGCGTTCTGTGAATGTGAGGCATTTCGACAAAGGCGCAGGAAGAAATGTGGTTTCCGAAACTCGCATACGTTTCACAGAAGGGCTAAAAGGGAGTTATTGTTTGGCAAAAGGCACCCATTTAGCGGTCATTTGGAGAAACAAAGGACTTAAACGGTTCAGGTCTCGTTGGTTCTCCATTCACATCTCTCTAAAGATATACAATTCCGCAAACGATTTAACACCTTTGTTCCGGGCGGGATGTTTACTCTATAATTTACTCGATTTTGACTGACTTCATTCAAACTGAGAACTTTAAAATCATTGCAAAAAGTACTCAAAAGTAGACATTGTAACTTATTAATCACTTTAGCGTATTGTGCCACTTGCAAAGAAAAGATGTGTTTAATGCTGAAAAAGTGGGAAAAGGGCTAAAAGAGGTGACCACCTGCGGTAATTGAATTTTGTCCATTGTTTGGGTGTAAATTAAAGTCCAACAATGCGATCAGAATCAGAAAAAAAGCACGAAAGCCGGAGACTGAGAGAATGGGAGAGAAAAATTGGTGGCTCATGTGAAGCGTGTGGGTGTCATGTTTCTTCGGGCAACACCATCAGCTGGGATGCAAGCGCCACAGAAGCGTCCACGGGAGGCCAAAGAACGAGCGGAGGGAAGTGAACAAGAGATCGAGATGTCACGCTAATCGGATTCGACGTTCCACTAAACTGCAGTTTTTCAAAAGGGGACCATCCTAGCCTCCGGGATATAGAAAAAATAAAGTTGTGGCCCTGGGATCCCCTTCTGACCGGGCAAAATTCACTGAGACAGAAAATTCCAATCGAATTGAAATATAAATTTTATTTCTGGGATTTAATCGATTGTATAATACTCCGTTTTCTCATGGGTGATGCTTTTTGCTGGTGGTCGGTCTTAAGATGGAATTAAAGTTGAAATGATTTGTGTGTCATTTGAAAAAGGAGTTTTATTGTGGGATTTCAGCGCGCTAATCACATCAAAGTGGAATTAAATGAGAGGAGTTTCGTGTTGTCAAGAAATCTCAACATTTCTGTGACATTTGATATTATTCTATGGCGTGTTGACAAAGGTATTCTCAAATGGACAAAATCATCCCAGCAGCTCATCTAAAACAAGTGGAGATGAGGCTTGCCTTCGAAACTGAAATACGAATAAATGAAACAATTATTTAAAATGACTTTAGAAAATGTTCAAAGTAGGGAAAAGTAGTCATTTATCGTAATTTCACCCTTCGTGGATCTAGCATTTAAATATCTCTTCCAATTCACGGTGTGTATGCGGGCATTATTGGTGAGTGTGTGGACAAGAAGTTTCTGACTGTGATGGCCTTTGAGTGAAGTGACAGGACAAGTAACGCCCTGTTCTTTTGAAAATATTACACCGACACTGGGTCCTATTTTACATTTCCATCCTTGCTCTCACTCTCTATTCTCCACACACTGGGTATATTTAACCTTGGTCACAGGGGAAAAATCACAGTCCATCCCGGGTCACCGGAGAACTGAGTTGTGCTAACAAAACATAAAGTAGACGAACAATCACCGGAGATTTAATTAAAATCACTTCAATACGCAAAGGAGATGACCAATAATAATGGGGGGAAGAACAGAGTGTGCTTCTCCAGTCAGGCAAATTTTATTTAGTTGAAAATTGGTAACAAAATACAGACAGAGTGTTAAATTTCTGTATCGATTTCGACGATGAGGACACCCAAAAGTGGCATTTGGTATAATTGGGAAGACGACTCGGAATTTTAGCATACCATCTATATTTCAGGGTCTTGCTACTAATCCTGATCACAGTATGTGCCATTGAAAACGCAAATTTTTTGACACATTCTAAAAGGCATTTACCTTTTTTCACATTTTCACGTTCTGTCGGATAAATTTGTAACCTTTCTAGCATCTCAATTTCGTTATTCCCCACGGTAATGTATACAAACTCCCAGCTTCTGATGTACGGCACTTCAATCAGCACACCCTGTCTTTTCTATTTCCCAACTTCCCTTTTCGCAACGAAACGCGCTGTTTGTATATTTTATTTTCGGATGATTGATCGCACAAATAAATTTATTTGATTGTCACACTCTCCATAATTCTCCCTTGGGTTGTCACTGCAAATTATTAAAATTTCATTTCTCTAAATTATTTTTCCTCACACCTCCCTTTCTGATGGAGAATATTTATTCCGGAATTCCCCCAATGTGGACTTACTTCGTCCCTAGATAAATACTTTTTAAGTTACCCCGAAAGCCGAGGTGTTGCTGGAAGGGTTGATGTGCCCGAAGATAGACATTTTTGGGTGAGAGAGAAACATACATGAGTGATTCTCAGGAAAGTGATCAAAACAGAAATAAACAGGGTGGAAAATAATCAGTTGTCTTAATCTTAATGGCACATCTTTGAACGATGGGCGAAGGGGCGGAAGAGAAAAGTGGGAGTGGCAAGCAGAAATCCAAGGAAGAAAATTAATTATCGCCCATTTGCAGTCATTTAATGGGTGCCTATTGATTCTTTAATGCTATACAATCGAACGAAAATATGTGGACCATAGAGAGGATGTGTCCATAAACACATCAAAATCACATAAACAAGATCAAATAAAGCCGGAGTGAGTAAGTTTATTATTTCGAATGGTCAAGAGAGCGCCAATAGAATTTAATTAAATTTTTGGCGTCGCAATAAAAAGCAAACTTGATGCGTCTTTGAAATTAATATTTTCTCTCGCGTGCTAAGAAATTAATTACTCAGTCTCTGAAAAGACACAAATTAATTAATTGATGGCGAATTCACGTGAAACCTTCCAAGTGCTATTGAGCTCCTCAAATCGTACGACCACGCGGCGAGATTTCTTTTTCATTTGCGAGGCTTCAAAAGATTCCCTCAAGTGTTATATTCAATCGACCAGTGAAAATATTAATAGTTTCCCACAGCCATTCATTGAATTGTTTATCCCATTTAATAGCTTTCATATATTGCACAAGGAGAAATTTTCCAAACATACAGTTTTTTAGGCGACTTTCGAGTGTTAATAGAAGGCACACCAAGAATGAAGTAAAGCAGATATTCTTTTTGTTTGAATACCATTCACAGAGTAGCAGAAAAAAAATTTAAAAATCTACAGAATTTTATCGTCAAATGGCGTAATAATTTATCTTACGGAGGAAAGAATAATATTGTAAACAATGCGCGATGGTGAGTTTAATAATAA